GAGTCTATTCCAGGCCTTGGGGGTTGAGACAGTAAAGAAGTTTTTCCTTATGTTCATCCTAAAACAGTCTTGCAGGAGTTTGTGACCATTGGACCTTGTCATCCCATGAGGTGCTCTGGTGAACAGGTGTTCCTCCAGATCCTGATACACATCCCTTATGTACTTATAGCAGGGGTGGGCAAAATGCAGCCTGTGGGCTGGATGTGGCCTGCCAGGCCATTGTATCTGGCCTGCGGGGCCCCTAAAAAATTTAGAAAAGTAATATTTATCTGTCCCTGGCTGCCTATCATGTGGCCCTTGATGGCTTGCCAAAACTCAGTAAGTGGCCCTCTCCCTGAAATAACTGTCCACCCCTGACTTTTATAAGCTGCCACCAAGTCACCCCAGATAGTGAATGTCATAAGAGTGCCCCAGTTATAAGCATGTTTTCCCATGCATAACGGTCTTTAAGTGTTGTTACTTCTTTAAGCTGATAGTTTCGCCATATACTTCATGGTATTGTGCTAGTTGAACTTTTGTCAGTTTTTTGTTAACTTGCCTTTGTTAACTCGCAGAGCACTCGTGGTCTTCAGTGGAGCAACCCACACTAGTGAACATGATCAGTAATATTTGTTCTGCCATGCAAAGCCATAGTTAAAAGAGCAAAGAATGATTCATGGGGTCCCTAGCTGGCATGCACACTTGGAGATATTTAAACAGCTCTTTTCTTCTGTGCTGGTACCTGAAGATTTAAAGGGGATATGGCCATAGCAACACTTCAGGCTTCAGCAACACAAAGGTACATCAGGATCTGAGAGAGAGAATATCAAACCTTGTTTTCTGTTTGGTGATTCGCCATTCCTCCTCTTTGAAGTCTGTTCCAAAACCGATTTTGAATTCCAAAACTAATGGAAAAACCTAAGTGGTATTTAAGGCAGGAATGGCTATATAAAACCCAGGCACCAATCACCCAAGCCTAGGATCCTGCAGGAATGATCATTTTAAAGAAGAATTGGTAGTGTGGTAAATAACTGTCTCTTTCCTTAGCTAATTTTCATTTTTTGTAGCTTTCTGTCTGATGTTTTAATATCACTTTAATCCACCAAGGTATTCTTTATTCCTACAACTGTATTTGAATTCTGTATTTTTTGCATTACATTTCAGATTGTGACCTGTACCAGTACCTCTTTCACTGACTTGGCAGAAATTGTGTCCCGAATTGAGCCAGTAAAAGCAGCTTTGGTAGATGGTGAGTTGGATCATCAAGCCCGTTCTATGAAAGAGGACACAACTTTCCTGATCAGGTGTACTGCTGCAGCTTTGGGACCATTCATGCTTCTTTCTCTTCACTTCCAGTTCAAGAAACACTCTTGACTCATCTTGTATCATTGTTTTGTTCTTGTATGAGTCCTATTGAGAAATCCTCCCTCATCATCATGTTCAACTTGAGTATCTTGTCCTGTAGAAACTTAGACGTTAGTAATAAGGTGTGCTGAATACATCTGAATCTACCTTTCCTTGCCTCCACCATGCCTTGAGTGCACCCATTTGTTATAGGGGAAGCTACAGAAATGCACCCTCTTATGTTCTTTTAGGAAATTTATAAACATGCTCCAGGAGTGCGGGGGGTGGGCACAGGGGGAGCACTTTAATTATAGTGACTCCTAGAGAGCCACTCTAATTAAAGTTCCCAGAGCTTCATGTGTATCAGCTTCCCCATGCTGAAAAATGGTGGCCGGGTACTTTAAATGAGCTTGTTCAATGCGTTAGTTAAAGTGCCCCCACTGGCATTTTTAAGCGCAGGGACGCTGGTACATGTGGTGCTAGAGTCTGCTGGTGTGCGGTAATTGCCACACTCCAGCAGACTCAATCAATTGAGTCTGCTTCGATGCTCTATAATTACAATGCATTGGAGCAGCCTCATTGCACATGTATAGGCACCCTTAGATTCATGTCAGGGTAACTTTTAAGAAGGTGATGTTGGCATCCCCTATACACAGATATTTTTTCCCAGTGCCTTACTTCTCCCTTTCCTGCACTTCAGTATGTTATCAGTGGCAGCTTCAAGCATTTCATATTTCCCATTTCCTCTCAAGAAGCCCAGCTTTGATTTTCAGAGCTGGCTGGAAGCAGTTGAAAAATAATATAGTAATGGCTGCTATGGTTTGGGCAAACAAGTATTATACTCCAATATCTAACGCATTGCTTCATGAAACGCTTTTAAAAGGCCCAGGACTGTTTGCTGTAAGGTGGGGTCAGCAACACATGGCCTGTGGGCCAGATCCAGTTGTGGAGCTGTGGGTTCTGGCCTCAGAGCTCAAAGGCTTTATGTGTGACCACGCCTGCCTTGGAGCTAAGCAGTGAGAGCTGTGCCAGGACCACACAACTCAGCTGAGCCCCTGCTCCTGCCTCTGCAGCTTTTTTTCCTCTGTTCCCTATTGTCCCTGGCTGCAGTGTGGGTGCAGCTTCCAGCCAGTGGGGAGCTGTGCCAAGACCAAGCAGCTGGATGCTGTATCCACACTGGTGCTGCTTCTCCGCTCGCTCCCCTTTCCCTAGCTGTACTGCAGTAGCAGGCACAGCAAGAGCGTGACTTCCAGTTGCCTGTCCCCAGTGCAGCTCCCACTGGTTGGAAACTGCTCCTGCACTGCACCCAGGGAGTGGGGAACTGGGAGTATGTGTGACGACATGGGCACAGCACTCAACTGCTTAGCACAAGTGCAGGGAAGACCACCCCCCACCCCCAGCTGATATGCCAAAGAACGCCCCCAGCCTTTGTGGGACCAGAGCCAGGTTGTTCTGGCCTGCAGCATGAAAAAGTTGATGCCTGCTGCCGTAAGGAATCAACCCAAAGGATGACTGATGGTAGTAAACGTAGCTGTTCAGTCCTAAAATCCACAAGCACCTCATGCATGTTTACACTTCCATTGACAGTCACTCACCGAAGTCTTGTCCTGCAAAGGACAATCTGCAGTTAGAGCAGGGGTGGGCAAAATGCAGCCTGTGGACCAGATGCGGCCCACCAGGCCATTCTATCTGGCCCATGGGGCCCCTAAAAATGTAGAAAATTAATATTTATCTGCCCCTGGCTGCCTGTCATACGGCCCTCAATGTCTTGCCAAAACTCAGTAAGCGGCCCTCCACCTGAAATAATTGCCCACCCCTGAGTTAGAGCCTGTCACCGCCACCCCACTCTGCCCTCAGCTGCCCCCCATCTGCAGTTGTGTGTTTGAGAGATCCCTGCAGCTATTAGTAATGCTAATTCCAATCGCGTGCTTTACCAAGAAATTATTAATCAAATGTATTTGAATAGCCATTAAGAGTAGGAACAAAAGGTTCTGTATAACATGGTTATTGGCAGCATCAGTATTCAAGCCTGTTGTAATGTAATTGTTTTACTACAGCCACCTGTCCCCTGTTACACTTTGCTTACCTGCCCTCATTACTAGGATACATCTCCTGATTTGTGAACCCAATTAACAAAGGATAAGCAATAAATTGATACACATCCCATTAGTAGCTTTACCACATTTGGACCTTTTTGGTTCTTGCTCTTGCTGAGATGTTCTGCAAGAGGACTAGGGGCCTGAGAGGGGCCAACACCTCTGCCAATGTGCCATGCTCAGGAGATCACCCAGATTGTCAACAGTGATGTTAACAAGTCTGATTTTTGCCTTGACATCTCCTCTTTTTTTGTGCTCTTAAGTCTTCTCTTCTATCTATAGTCATCCTTATAATGCTTGGCTATTAGAGGGGCCAAAGTCAATGCAGGGCATATTGAGAGGCCAAGCAGGTATTTAAATCCAAAGACAGCAGGGGGTGGGGGAGAAGGAAGGCCTTTGAGGCCTTCCTTTAACTCTATTTGGCACATTAATATTTTTCTTCTTCATTTCTGTGATAACAATGGAACTGTACGTATAACACCCGGGCTTCTCCATCAGTTATCAGTGGGGCAGAAGACAGCTTAAAAGAGTGTTACGGCATACAGTTAAGAATGCTTAATGTTCTTGTAGCCACTTGACCAGCCTAAACAGCTTAGCTTAAGTAGTAAAGTAATGTGGTCTTTGCACTGCAATAAAGATGTAGAATAAAACCCCTCAAGGAAAGTAGTTAGTTATTGTGCCTATGTAACAGCCTCTGGGTCTGCTTTAAACAAAAAGTATTTATAATTGTATGTTGAGGGAAACAGCCAGCTCCCAGGTCTTATATCAAGTGCTGAAACCCAGAGAATCTTGTACCTTCACATGTCTGATGCGGTAACAGAGCATTAACAAAATTTAAAAAAATCATCAAGGTGGCTCTTTAGTTCAGTGAGTAACACGTGATTTTATTATTGTGAACATGCCACTGTGCCTCTCGCGCTGCTGGCTGTTACAGTTCATCGTTTGTCAGGAATAGCATCTCATCCGTTGGCTCCTTGATGCAGGAACCTCACTTTTCTTTTGGTTCTAGGAAAGATGTTACCCACTGTTGAATGCAGTAGAAATAATGATTAGTGAAAGCCTCTGGGAATTACCATGTCAGAATAGAGCAGTGGCCTGTATGATCACTTTCCTGTCTCCAATAGTGCCTGTTGCTCCTTGATTTGTTTTATTTCTTTTCAAACTGCAGTGGTCATGTATAGGTACAGCACCCAGCACAGTGAGACCCTGTTCCTACTTGTAGCTTATGTAAGATAAATAATACGAGCGATCACAGTAACATTTAAGGCCTTTTTAAAGTTAGTTGAATGTTTGATTTTAACCCAGAATATATTTGAGTTGTACATTTTTAAGATATTTTCTATTGTTAATTACTAATCATGTGAGTTTCCAAATCAGCCATTCTTCCTCGTGATTTACCAAAGACCTCCTTTGTAATGACATACATGATTCTTGGAATGACCATGGAAAAACAGTGGCCATGTGTTTTTCATACCACACTTTTCTAACAGTTGGTTATAGCCATTTTGTTAGAATAAAATGCTAAAGAACAGAATGTACTGTTGTCTCCAGAATAGAGCAGATGCTATTGACTGTTCCACAATAGGCAATACTTAAGTAATCAGTGAATTCATTTGAAGCATAAGCTGTGTTCCTCGCTGTCATGCTGAAAAACAGACATTTTGTCTTGTTTATTATATGAATCTTCTCCCGCCCTGATACGCAGGCTAGTGTAGGCTACATTTGGAACGTCTGTTAGGATCACTGGTCCTGATGCTTTATGGGATCTCAATTAATACTACTGCATAACAATGAGCCTCACCATCCACAGTGGCCTTAACATTTCCATTTGTGCAAAATTGTTCAGTGCTTATAAATAGATTCCATCCCAAATCTTTCTGAGCTGTCTGCTACCTCACAGCAGCTGGGCATAAGCTGCTTCTCATCATTAACTGTGTACACTTAACTTAAAGCCACAGCTGCTATACCAGGGTCAGTCTGAGAGTACACATTCTGTATTTAGATCCTGAGCTGAGCTGACTCCTCATTGAAGTCAGGGAGATTTTGCATGGGCTTGTGGCTCAGCTTGCATGATACTCATTGAAAGGTCAAGGCCTTTGGGCCTAAAGAAGTCTCAATTAAGATGGCAATATTTTCCAAATGATGTGGAGGGAGTGGGAATTGGTGGATTAGGGCAGAAGTGCTAGCGTCATAGAAGCTTTAAAAAAAAAACTGAAGAAGTCAAGTATTGCTGGTATTTTGAACCCTAGTAACCTTAGTTTTCCTCTAGCTTTGGTGTAGACAACAAATGCAAGGCCTGTTCTACAGAGCATATGAATACACAAGAGAACGTCCTCCTAGCAGACCCCTGCAATCTCAGCATATTTTTGGACTAACAGCACAAGTTCAACTCTAGGTTCATTTATAAGTTTTAATTCAAATGAAGAGTTGGCAGGATATCGAAAGCATGATGCTTAAGTGAGAGTCAGCAGGGAGGTCAGGGACCAGTTCAGACACTTTTATGTATTATACAAAAGCTAAATGATTAGATTGCATCTTTCTTTCTATTGGAAGATACTGGGACAATACTACATAATACATACAGTCTTCAGGTAACAAAGTGATATGGTCACTGGCTAAGGAAGTTGCTAGCACAAACTCTTAAATTTAGAGTTGAGTTTCTTGGACCAGGTGGAATGTCCCCAAGTTCTGTGGGAGTTTGAGTGGGGGGACTAAGCAGCTGACAAGAGTAGGGGCCTAGTAAGTTGAGTCCCTTTGTCAGAGAACCAGGCAGTAGCTGCTGTCATACCCAACTTTATAACTGGTGCTGGGGGTTACCTTGATTAACATTCAAAGGGTGAGCCATACCACAGAACCAGGAAAGGAGGTTGAAGGAGCAACTAAAGAGTGTTTTATAAAACACCCACACAAATGTATGGACAATTCAGCATGGTTTCCAAGAGGAGAGAATGAAACCACTGTAATCTATTACATTCTCTGAAGTCGTTGACAGATTAGCAAGCACAGGAGAACTGTTGCAAAGCACTTACATCAACTTCTAAAGAGTTTTTCTACAGAGTGTCTCATGGGAGGCTATTAAAGCAACTAAGAAGATCACACACTGGCTGAGAGAGAGAAAAAACAAGTTTGGGCATAAATGGTCAATTGCCAACACTGTAAAAGAACATTATAGTTCCCAAAGTTTTGTCCTTGGTCTGGGCTTCACATTACTCGGAGGCATTGTTAGAGGCAGCTTGGAGACTTGTTCTGACCTAAATTGGCTCCATAAATACACATCTTTTGAGATCCCAACAAGAAGTGGGCTGAAGAAGGACTGGTGGATCTTTTTCAAACTCAGTCCTTAGGAGGATGTTAAAATGGGGTGCTACTCACAGTGGACTGTCTAGATCTTCACAGCATTGTCCCTCTCCTTGCTTATGTGCTAATGCCAACTTTGTTATTATCATTGGATTTGCCAGCAAACACCCTACTGGGATGGATGGCTGAGGTACACATTGCTGTAAGCCAGTGGTGCTCAAAGTATAGCCCATGGGCTGGATATGACCCATAAAGCAGTCATCCAGCTCATGGGGGCTCCCCACAGGTCTGAAAATTTGGCAGCAGGGAAGCAGTGGGAGCATTTATTGTCATGGCTCTGGAAACCTAGCAGGAATTAGAACTGCCACCTCTCCCCTGTCACTTAATTATAGGACCCATGGGAAGTACCATAGGCTGGATCACATGGCACCCCATATGCCAGATCCAGCAGCCTGTAGGGTCAGACCTGGCACATTCGGTTGGGCCCCATGCGTGGGGTCACACCTAGTGCATGGCCCAGCATGCTGGATACAGCCCACAAACCAGCTCTGCCACACTCAGTCGGCCCACGTGCCAGAAATGTTGAGCACCAATTCTATAAACTATTGCTTCAGGCTGTGGCAGACCATGGTGTCTTGCCTTATATCTGTTATAGGTTTCTGTGTCATCCTTGCCAACTGCTAAGTTAGAGTGAGAAGTGATGTTTTTTAAAACACTAACTTAGTTGGTATTCCCTTGGAGAAAGTGACCAGTACATTAAGCTTCCATGAATTGCCCTACGGATGACTCTACTTCCTAGCCCAGGGCTCTGTTGCCATGGTATGATAACAACCATTGTAATTCTACTCTATTTCCCCTGCTCCTGCTGGTACCAGCTAAAACCACTATTTTTCTTTTCCTTCCTATTCAGATGAATCTGATTATCAGACTGAGTATGAAGAAGAAATTCTAGACAGCCAAAAGGATGATTATGTTAATTTCCTAAGCAGCCGGGTTGAAGAGGACACTGATTCGGTAAGAACTATGCTCTAGATTTGCCACAGGTGTTCGTGTGTGTGTACATGCTTTAGTCTCCACATGAGCCATGTCAAAGCAAATATGTTTCCTGTAGGCATAGAGACCTGTCTGGGTTAAATCCCATGGAGGGAGGAGGGTGTGAGAAGGGGGACAAATGAAAGAAGCATCTTCTAGGACCAGTGCTGAAAGGAATCTGGCAGGACCATGTCAGTCTGTGGTGTCATATGGATATTAAACATACTGCCAAGCCCTATTTGCCCTATTCAGATAGTCAGTGGTCAGGTGGTGCTTTTATTCTATGTAAACTACAGTCCTATAAAGCAGAACTTCTAGTCATCAGGAAGAACAGTTGGAAAAAAACCAGTTCATTAACAGAAGGTTTTGTGTGGCTGACGTGTGTCAGTATTCTGTGAAGAGTTGCATCATTTTGTAGAGGTGTTGACATAAGTCTTGGTATCTAGCTATTCATGCACTGGAAAGAGCAGGTATCCTATGACTAGCAATCACATGTCATCTCTGTCAGATCAATGTTGACCAGTAGAGTTTTCTGACCTCCCATTTTGGAGCAAAAGCGCAGAAGAGATTACAGAGCTCTGACTCAGATAATGAAGTTCCCAAACAGTTTGTCACTACGTCTCTGTCTTCTGGGTAATGCCCCAGCCAGTTTGATTAGAGCCACAGATGCCTCTTAATATTTGTCATGAATCATTCTTGGATAGGAGTATATGAACATTATGCACAAATGTGCCCATATAAAATATGCACCCAGGGAATGATGTGAATTTGTGTCTGTGTTTGAGTTGGAAGCTGTTTCTGCCATTTTTCCTTGGCTGTATTTAAAAACTTCATTAGCCGCAATGGTCTTCATGAGACTGATGTCTGAAAGGCAGAAGAGTAATGTGTGGGGAGCGAAGGGGGAGCTGGGGAAAGGGAGGGAGAAGTGGTTTTGTCTGTCTGGAGTAGATTGTTAAATCCTTTTTCAGATCAAGTGTTTTCTGCTGAAGAGCATTCACATGGCTTTGTTTTCTGTTTCAGGATGAAGACATGCAAATAAGAAAACGCACAAACATCCCCAAAAAGGAGAGCCGTCCTGACAGCATGGAGGAACTGAGCTAATGCCCATGGGGAGCCATCCAGGCTAGTGTGCCATGTGATCACATAACTCTAGTTTCACTGACAATGGCCATTTTATTAAGAAATTGCCTGGTTGAAATGAAGTGTTTTTTCTTTTTTTTCAGATCAGGGTGGTGGGGCTGGATAACTGTCCTTAGAGGAAATATGCCATAAAAAGCTCAAGTGCCTTTGTTTTACCCAAGTCCCCATGCCCAGAGAGACATTACACTAGAGAGTTTCAGGCTGACTTATACCACACTCTGCTCTTCAAGTGCCAATGTGTGCTACAAATCACTAGTTTCTGTGGTGCTGGCAGGATGAAGGTGCACTCTGGGCATTGTCTGTGCTTGGAAGTGTATTTAAATGTCGCTTTGGATTTCTGCTGCCATGTGTCCTGTTTGCTCTCTTGCCTTTGTGGTCTTCAGGAAGAGTTGAATATGCCTGGAAAGAATATGAGCTGCCACTGTGAAGAAGGATGAGTATATGAACATTCAGGAGAGGGAGGACTATTTGAATATGTGCTGGAGAAAGGAATGTTACTGCTTTCATCTCACATGGGCCAGATAACCATGTTGTTCACTCTGGATTTATTTTACAATTGGGTGCATGGGAGTAGTGCTGTGGCATTAGGGGAAAGAGTCTGTCTGTGTTTCCCTGGAAGACTCAAGAGGAAAGCTAAGTCCTTCAAGTTAGTTGCATCTGAAGCAAGTGAGTAAGGTTCAGATTTATATAATGAAACCATCTGCAGGAGCATTTAATGATGGTGCATTTAGTAGCTATTTGCCAGGCAATTACAGAGTAGCTACATGGCTATATCTGCCTTG